TTTTTTTTTTTTTTTTTGAATGAATACAGCTATATTTTTGAAATTCAAATTTGCTTTAACAATGTTTACAAATTGATCACAATTCTATTTTAAAAACTTTTTTTATAAAAAAAAGTAGAATATGCATATTATATCAACTAAGTTGCTCTACGCGCACTTTGTTATTTGGTTCAAAATTGCTTTATTTTTCACATCACAAGTTTTTTATCTGATACTTGACAGTTTGTTTATTACTGATTACTACAGTTTCTTGCTTAAGTCTCCCATACTGACCAGTAGTCTGGTTATTGGAAACGCTACAGTTAATGCTATTGTCTCGCTGTGCTTCAACAAAACTATAAAACAAGGACTGAGAGACCTGACTAGTAAAACTCGACGTTCCAGTGTTGTACAACCAGTTGGCAGAGCTCAATCGCTACAACCTAAGCAGCGTCTGACAACGCCTCAATACTGAATAGAACACCATGTAAGCTATTAACCATACTTTTAATTGTTGGAAATCTTGAAGTGACATTATATCATCACTGTTTTCAGATAGACCTGGTGATTTGTCAAATATAAAACAAATGAACCTTTCTCGTCAAAGTAAAAAATGTCTACGAAAGAAGGGAAGACACCGCTGAAATAGTTATAGATTTTAATTTAAGAAGTAGTTTACTATCTTTAAGAAACCTGACAGAGCCCTAACTGAATGCTAAAAACTGAACTGAGCGAGAAAGAGCGAACAGATGTTTTGGTGTTACACCTGTAAAACGCTGTCAATAAATTTATATCTTTGTCTTGACGCACTTAAAAGTTTCAAAATTTTATAAAATGTAACAATTACTTGAAAATCTTGAGTATTTGCCGATTTACAATAAGACCCTAACTTTTACTTTCATCAGTCTTAACCTTACATTTTTGGCCTATACTGATTTTATCATGTTTATAGTTTTCTGTAAATTAGCTTCTTCTTCAGAGCAGCGTTCTTCAAATTTCTATCATTATTTGTTGAGCATACTTTGTATTTTCCTTTGTACTAAACTCTGTTTAACGGTTAGGAAATATGTAGAAATTGACTAGGTCAGTTACTCTTTTTTTCCACTTTATATCTTCAATAATTACGAGATAATAAAAATGCAGATTAAAACGTACAACCAGTACTTATGTTCAATATGTTTAATTCAACATTCGAACAAGTAGTAGGAATAGAAAATAGCATTTAATCTAAATTTTTTCAAAGTGCAGAAGAAAGCTCTACTAATAATTGTATAAAAGAAGTTTCAATATAGACATTGAAAATGAGGAGTTGG